GGGTCTGCTTGGTGCGGGGTTGGGAGTATCTTCTCTCAAAGGGGGACACCTCCCTTCAGCCACAGCGAGATGTATGCCCCGTGAGTGTGGGAAACCTAGAAGTGACTGACCTGGGGCAGGGGGGTGAGGAAGGGGAGGGGGGTCAGGCAGGGGTCCTGACCCAGGTTTGAACAAATTCGTTGTTATCCTCACATCACCTACGAGGAAACTGAGACACAGAGAGGTGGGGCAGGCTGCCGAGGGCCACAGAGCAGTCTGGGCCCCGAGTCCCTGCTTCTAAGCCATTGGGCATTTCTGTCACCTCAGAAGGTTCTGGGTCTTTCGTGCCCCTCCCCCACTGCAGCTGCTCCCACTGGAGGCCTCGTGGAGGGGCCGGAACCCTGACCTTCTGTGACCTTGGCCTGTAGGTCACCTCCCTGGAGCCCCAGCAGCTCCTCTGCCCAGGCGCTGCTTCCTGCCTCCGTTTCTCCTGCAGGAGCAATGACTACAGCCAGTCTCCTGCTCGCGGGGAATTCCCAGATGCTCAGTGCAGCCTGCTGGGTGCACCTTTGGTTAGGGGGGTAGAGGGGGGACAGGAGAGGTGCAGCCACCTCTGAAGCTCCTGTCCCTCTTCCAAGTGGGGAAACCGAGGTGTGGGCCCGGCTCTCACCCCAGGTGATCGACGCCATCTCCCAAGCTGTGGCGCAGACCCCCGGCTGCGTGCTGCTGGACGTGGACGCCGGCCCCTCCACCAACCGCACCGTCTATACCTTCGTGGGGCGGCCTGAGGATGTGGTGGAGGGGGCCCTCAACGCTGCCCGGGCTGCCTTCCGGCTCATTGACATGAGCAAGCACAAAGGTGAGGGGCTGTTCTCTCCCACAGGGCATGGAATGGGGGGCCCCCATGGCCCCCAAGGGGTCTGCCGCCCATGGAACCCGCTGTGCCAGGCGGAGGTGCATGGCAACGCCTGTCCACATTTCAGGGTGACCGGCAGTGAGGCTGGAGCACACTGAGCAGGCCCTGGGGGTGGGGGTGGGGGCAAGGTGAAGACAGGGCCCTGCTGGAAACCGACCTGTCAACAGCCTACAAAGCCAAACACGTCAGGTGGCAGGCAGGGTCAAAGGTCTCTGGACACTCAGCAGGGAGACCAGCCAGGTCCACAGGCAGGGAATTCACAAGCGACCTCAACTGTTGAGAATGGGGGCTCATCTCCGATTGAGGAGTTGACTGGGGAAGGGGAGAAGCCCTGGGGAGGGGAGGGGCATCACCATCTTTGGGGGGCTGCTGGCTGGCAGCAGGACACTTGGCGTGGACCAGGAGGGCCCTCCAGCCTGGCCAGGACTCGGAGAGCACAGCTTCGAAGCTCTTCCGTGTTTTCTTTGTGGTTTATCGGAGAGGGAGGGGTTGACACTGTTCATCTAAATAAAAGGGCAAAGTGAGAGGCAACAAGCATTTATTCGAGATCAAAGAATAGCTGTTCGGGAAACACTGATTCGGGCAGAAGCCCAGATAGTGTTCGGATGAGGAGACAAAGGCAACGGGCACTTAGGAGAAGGGGGCGGGGACAGTTCCATCAATAAAAGGAAGATAGTGCTGTCGGGCAGATAACGCAGCGATGCTGAGTCTAAAGAATGCCTTTAATTCTCAGTCTTGTAGTCGTAATATCTGCTTTTCTGTTATCTTTGCAAATAGTTCTTTGGGACACAGTGTTGCTTTAGGCCCAGTCCAAAGTTATTCTGCCCTGTGCTAACATTCCAAAGGTTTGAGGAGTAAAGTGTGCAAGGCAGGCCCTCTGAAGTTTTTACACAACACAGATGCCCAGATACTGGGGGCCTGCCTCTCCCAGGGGCCCTGTGGTTGGTGTGAATGGGTCAGTGTGTGGATGGTGGGGCAGATGGGGCCTCAGGGATAGGTTTTGGGGAACCCACCGAGCCCTTGTCCTCGCCCACAGCTGGGTCTCCTGGTCCTTGGCCCCCATCTCTCTGCAGGGGAGCACCCTCGGATGGGAGCCCTGGACGTGTGCCCCTTCATCCCGGTGAAGGGCGTTGGCATGGATGAGTGTGTGCTCTGTGCCCAGGCCTTTGGCCAGCGGCTGGCAGAGGAGCTGGGCGTGCCAGGTGAGTACCTTCTCCCCCCCACCCCCAGGAGGGGCACCCTGATCTCAGGGGTTTCCTTAGCCAGCCCCTCCTCACTTTCAGTTCCCACCAGCACCCTTCACCAGTCTCTGCTCATGACTCCTTAAACATGCAGATTATTAAAAAAAAACCCAAAACCTGAAAAACTGCCACCAGCAAACTGACAGACACTCCCATTACTTCCATAAGGAGATAAACGCAATGGAAGCCCCAGCCCAGGGAGGCCATGGGCTCTCAGGCCATGAGGCAGCGGGAACCGGCAGCCACTTTATCATGATTTAGTGAGATGAGTGGACAGCCCTAAGGGGATCATTTCACTTGGGGGATTGACCACATCAAGAAAATGACCTGGAACAAATGGGGACAAATTAGAAGCAAAGTGCATGTGGACAGGACACATGAGCACGGGGTACGCATCCCGCCCCATGCAGATGTGGGGAGTAGCACACACGTGTCCCTGTGCATGTGTGGGTGTTGGGAGCTTGTGGTGAGTTTCCTTAATTGGTGGTCATGTTTATTGTGCAGTGAAAACACATTTTAGGAAGAAATGGGGACATCCTCCCAGTAGCATGTCCCAGCTCTCCTGGTTGGCTGATGGCTTTTTCAGGGGCACCTGTCCAGGGGGAACAGCGAGGGTGGGGGACTGCCCTGCCCCTGGGTGGGCAGAGGAGCGGAACTGGCCCACACTGAGTGTCCATCAGTGACCACCCTGAGTGAGGCAGGAGCTGAAGGCGACCTGTCCTCCAGGCTGAGGCTGGCGGGAGTGGCTGCCTCGGTTCTCCTCTGGGAGTGGGGGGGTCTGGACTGCCCGCTGCCAGGGCCTGACCGGCCAGGCTCCCCTTGCAGTGTACCTCTACGGCGAGGCGGCGCGGGTGGCCAGTCGCCGGACCCTGCCGGCCATCCGGGCGGGGGAGTACGAGGCCCTGCCTGAGAAGGTGTCGTATTCCCTCGATGGCGGGTGGGTTTGGGGTGAACCCCAGGGGTATGTGCCCTTTTCCTTTCCCCTGCCTCTTCCCCAACCCCAGCGGGGCACCCCTTCCATGGGGTACAACACCCAAGGGTGAGTCTCCCTACAGCTCAAGCAGGCAGAGTGGGCACCTGACTTTGGCCCCAGCACCTTCATCCCCAGCTGGGGGGCCACCGTCACAGGGGCACGGAAGTTCCTCATCGCGTTCAACATCAACCTGCTCAGCACCAAGGAGCAGGCACATCGCATCGCCCTCAACCTCCGGGAGCAGGGCCGTGGGAAGGACCAGGTGAGAGCAGCCAGGCTTGCCTGCCATCCCCGTGGGCTGGGCGTGTCCCGTGGATCACCAGCGGCCCAGGGAGGCTGTGTACCAGCCCAGCCTCAGTGTCCACTCCATGTGGGAAGAGTTAGGATGGGAGTCTAGTGTTTGAATTGGGGGAGCACTTACTTTAAAGGACATTTTCCATGGAAGCAGGCAGGGTGGTACCCTTTGTTAAAATATTGCAGCAAATCTATACTGAAAGGAACACAGCTGCTTCCTGAGCCCCAGTTACCTCAGGTACTCTCAGGTTCCCTCAGATACTCCCAGGTATCCCCAGGTACTCTCAGGTGTCCCGACCCACCTGGTCTGCCACAGCAGCTTTCGCCTCGGTTGAGCATCACTGCTGTAGAAAGTCCTAGTTGGACACAGGTAGACACAGGAACACCTGGTAAGGGAGGCAGAGGGCACTGCTCTGCCCACCTGTCAGCCCCCCATCTCCAGAGACCCCAGATCCCCAGCCTGCAGATACTGCCATTGTGTAAGTACAACACAAATGTAGGAGAACCCCAAATCCTTCTTCCTGCTCTGGCTGACGTCAGAGGTCATAGGTCCCTCTTCAGATGGGTTGAATCACCTCAAGGATGAGGGGCTGAGAACTGGCCTCTGGGGTGAGGGGTGCAATGGAAGGAAGGGACCAAACACAGGAGTTTGGAGTGGGGTGGGGGTGGCCCTGGGCTGGCCCCCAGGACACAGTGTGGATGGAGTGTTGAGCAGGGCCTAGTCTGAGCCTGCTGCCCGTGGGGGTGAGCATCCTGGAGCCTGGCCCTATGGGGCCTCAGCTTCCCTGTGGCAGGCAGTCCCTTCCTGCTGGCTCTGATGAGAGCGAGGGAGAAGGAGGAGGAGGGCCATGTGCATGCGACCATCTTGGGAGCACCACACCTCTGCAGGCCACGGTGGGCCAACACACCTGCCAGCCGCCTCTCCTGCCTCTTCCCCGGGGATGCCAGGCAAATGGCTCTTACCAGGAACCAGGAGAGCTGGACAGGGCCTGGGCTGGGAAAGGCTTTTCTGTTGCAGCCAGGACGTCTGAAAAAGGTTCAGGGCATTGGCTGGTACCTGGATGAAAAGAACCTGGCTCAGGTGTCCACCAACCTCCTGGACTTTGAGGTCACAGCGCTGCATACGGTCTATGAGGAGACCTGCAGAGAAGCCCAGGTGAACAGGGTGGCGCCCCCATTGCCCTCCCCCCGTCCCCGCCACTTCCTGGGTGTCCTCAAGCCCCGTCCCGGGGGCTGACGCTGCTGGACCTCTGCAGGAGCTGAGCCTCCCGGTGGTGGGCTCGCAGCTGGTGGGGCTGGTGCCCCTGAAGGCCCTCCTGGACGCCGCTGCCTTCTACTGTGAGAAGGAGAACCTCTTCATCCTGGAGGAGGAGCACCGGATCAGGCTGGTGGGCTGCGCCCCTGAGGGGGGTGGGGCGAGGCTGCCGGGCCCCGTGGGAGCCCCGAGTGAACTACAGGTTCCCAGGAGCAGGTTTGGGTGCTGGCGGTGCCCACACAAGGGCCTGCAGCCCTGTCCATGGGGCCAGGACTCATTCTACCTTCTTTGTTTTATTGTCTGTGCTTAGAAGATGAGATCATACGATTTTCCTTTTGGGGACACCCTTGGGGTTCTCTTTGTGGCCTTAAATGTGTTCCGTCCTGTAAAAATTCTGACGGGAGGACTGTCCTCTGGCCTCCCTTCCTTCCCTCTGGTGTCTGATCTGGAGCCACCTCCAGCCTCCTCACACTTCCGGGTGTGGCAGCGAGTCCCCGGCACCTGGGCCCACAGATTTCCATGGTTCCTTCCATTTGTTCCTTGTGACACCTGTGCCTTGAGCTCCACCCACTTGGATTCCTTCCGCATTTCTTAACGTTTCGTTGAGCAATGGTTGAACTTCTCTGGCAGCGTGTGTTTGGTAGGTGAAGTTATCTCTGAGTATCTGCCAATTCAGCAGGTGTTCCTGGACTTATTTCTGTCCTGCCTTCAGGCTTGTCGGGGTGTGTGGGTGTGGTTCCTTCTGGTGACTGCACATGGAAGTCAGTCTAGTTTTTAGGTGTTCTGGTAGTTACTGTTGTAACTTAATATATTTAGGTATTCTGGTAGTTACTGTTATAACTTAATATATTTACCTTTTCTATTGTTTTTTAAAAAATTTTAAAATTACATTTAAATTTTCAAATTTATTGATTTTTATCAGTACATCGACCACTTTTTATGAAAATGAGAACATAAACACACTGTACTTCTTTCTCCCTCTTCTTCATTCCCTATTTCCTGATTTTTTTTGAGTTACAGTACTTTTTTTAGGGGGTTCTTTCGGTAGTTAATTTTCCCCCTTTTTAAAATTGTGGTAAAATACACAGAACAGAACATTTGCCATCGTAACCATTTTTAAGTGTATAGTTCAGTGATATTAAACTCACTCACGACGCTGTGCAGCCAGTCACCACCCTCCAGGAAGGGTTTTCTGTACCTGCAAACCATGTCAATGGGATTTTGATGATTTTGTCGAATCCGCAGTCGCTCTGGGCAGCATTGCCGTCTTAACCGCCTTCCACCCACGACCCTGCGATGTGTTTCCATTGATGCACGTCTCCTTTAAATTCTTTCAGCAGTGTTTTGTAGTTTTCATTGCATACTCTTTCACCTCCTTGGTTAATTAATCCCTAAGCATTTTATTCTTCTTGATGCCATTTTCAATGAAACGGCTTTGACAATTTCTTTTTCAGATTGCTCATTGTCTGTGTATAGCGATGCAGCTGAGTGTGGTGTGTTGACTACTTTGCTGAATTCATTTGTTATTT